CAACTGAAGTGGAGCAGCAGCTAAAACTAAAGGCTAATTGAAATTTGTATTTCTGAGAGAATTTCTTCTATGAAGTCAGGTATATACTAAAGTATATAGAGACTTGGTTTTTAGCTACACCTACTACTTCTTGTTCTCCCATTTTAGAAGATATATTCAATATCTAGAATCATGTATTGAGTTTATATTGGGACAGTTTAGTCTTATAGATATAGAAGCAACATATTCAGCAAGCCTAAAGAATCTCTCGAAAATTGGTATACATCAACTCAGCCACTTAATAAAACTAACCCAAAAGTTTCATTTGAATTAGTTAATTTGCTCCCCAGTTATTATACAAACAAAAAAGACGTTCCGCTTGAGGTCTTCGCTTTAAGAGATATCTGCTAGTCGTGCAGTTGGGCGTCTACCAACTTGTAGCATGCATTTTGTTGCCTTTTGCTGCCCACTAATTAAATGAGTTGAGAGCGTGAAAAAGTCGCATGTTGCATCATTTGAAGATGAAGACGAAGCTAACTGCAACTCATGGCAACAGCAGCAGCAGCAGCAGCGCCATGACCTAGGCATTGTATGGCATGTGGCATGTGGCATGTGGTATTGAAATGCCAACTAACGGTGCATTAGCTTCATCATTAAGACCAAAGTCCGTATAAATAAGGTGTCCATTATGCTCTCTTAGTATATTGAAAATTTATTTGGCATTTGGTCTTGATTTGTGCCCCATTAGCACCTTTCGATCTATACTTGGGTTCTGAGTTCTCTTTCTTTCTAATTTTTTTTTGGGGGAAGACTTAGAAAGCGTGTAAATTAAAAGCCAGCGAAAGTTTATTTTCTTCTGTAAAACTCAATTTTTGTGTTTCCATTTCTTTTGTTATTATTATTTCTATGCAAATTAGCTGAAGCTCTTCTAATTTTTGTGTCGCAATCCGAGAGACAATAATGAGTTTTTGTTGATATACACGAAAAATATTTCTGTTTTCTTCTCGCTCGAAAATATTTTTAACAATGTGTTAATTACACAAGAATACAGAAACAAACCGTATGCACAAATCTGTGCTTAATCGTTAATTTATGATATTCGTAGCGGTAAACGACGTGAAGCAATCGGCCGGCCTGAATGCTGATTCTAAGCTTCGTCTTTCGGCTTAATGCTTCGCTGATCATCATCAGCCGGCAGCAGCCTCGTGGGTAGCTCATAAAGTTGGCCTAATGTGCATATTTATGTTTGCCAGTTGCAATAAATTCGAAATTCATTTGATTTGAACACTTGAGTCTAGCCATAAATACGAGCTAATGTTTGTACAGCTGCTGAAAGTCCAAGTCTTTCTGCAATAACTCAACAATGCTTTATTTGATTATAGTGAAATTGGAAATATAGAAGAAGGAAATACTGAATGGTTCATAGACCAACAATTGTAGAATTTAACAGCAAAAGTTTTTCTGTTATCGAGTAAACTAATCAAATTGGTTCTTCTTCACTGCTTATGTCAAGTATGCCTAATATCCAAACACCAATCTTAACCAACATCTTTGATTTAATTCATTATCTTTGCTGTCCTTGATCATTTAATGTGCAATCTTGAAGTCATATTAAGGAGACAGGCTCGACTGTGATTGGCACCCAATCCAACTTGGCTTTGTGCAATCAAAATGCCTTGGCTGCCTGTCGAATTGGTAGCTGCGTAAGTCTCGTAACCCGCTCTTCGTTTCAGTTTCAGACATTTAGCACATTTCTAAAGCTTTAAACGGCATCAGAATCGCTTTGCAAAGCGCGCGCATTGCACCGCGATTATCGGCGGAGAACAATTAAGCGTCTTCATTAGGCCACAGCTGGTAGCCTATTTAGATGCGGATACCTTTCTATCTATGTGACTATCAATTCAATTAAGCACAAGCATGGGATCGCTGTGAATCTTATAGAGATGTCGGCATAATACGAAACGAATCTGCCCCGAGTCGAAACGGCATTTTATGCACAATCATTTCTTAGTGAATTTTTGATTGAGCTACGTTTTGTTGTGCTTATAAATTGTTTATTTATATTATATTTGGCTGTGTTTAGCCTCCAGAGTTGTAGTTTGCCTAATTTAATCTATAATCGATAAATATCGGTTAGTTCGTAGACCATTTGTTGATCATATGTTTAGATAAATTCATGGAAATCCTAATCAAATTTCAGGTTTGCTTACTCAACTGCAGTTTATTTGATATCATCAATATAGCATAACTATAAACGGAATAATCGATAAATATCGATTATTAATTGTTGTTGTTCTTCTAGACTCAAATTTATGAATCTAGAAACATTCCATAGACAAAGTCAATTTAGTATAAGTTCACTTTAATGATTCCTCTACTTTCACAAAATCGATAAATATCGTTTATTTTGGGCATTTTGCTAGCTAGAGTCTCCAAACTAGAAGAGCACAGCTTGGCATTATGAGCTCATACAGAAATTGAAGTCTAACTATGTCAGTTAATTTTATGGATAAAATGCTTCGGCAAGGGAAACTGCCGCACGCGCTCGCCTCTAATAGATAATTAGCCTGGCGAAGGTACTGTGCAGACCTAAGCCCAAATTGAATGCAACTAACTAACGCATTTTTCTCGCTGCAACCTGTTGCTGCAACGGCTGATGTGGCTTTTGTATGGAACATGTGGATTATGTGTTTGTGTGTCACGTCGAGCGTGCGACGCGGTACGTGCAACTCGCTCAACCTGTCGATAGTCGGCCAGATATATATGCAACGCCAATTGGCCCCGGCTAGCAGCCCGATGTGTGTCGTCTCCATCATCAACTACGGAGCGCCAATTCCCATCTACGAGCATCTTGCGCATTGCCAATTGGCAATGGCCAATCGAAGCCATAAATTATGTCGTTGTTGGAGCTGGAGTTGCAGTTGGAGACTCGAAAAGTCGCCTCCGTGTGATCAACATCATCGTCATATATGTGAGCTTGTGTTGCCCAGGCCTAGGCGCACATCAAAAATTTATAGGTCAGTGGTGGCAACAAATTGCCAAGCTTTTGCCGATTTTTCCAACTCCTTTTTTTTGGTTTTTCTCTTTTTTTTTTGTGTGTGGGCTGTGTATGGATGATGGAATGTGAGAAGCTGCCCTCAGACATGACCGTGATCTGGACATGTGCATTGAATTGTGCCTCCCCTGGCGCCCCTACCTACCTCATCTCCAATGACAGCTTGTCTTTTGTCTATGTTTTTTTTTTGTGGCTCTTTTGTTTTTTGTTTGCTGCTGCCAAAACTGACCCACTCAGCAGCAAAAGGAAGTTTTCATCGATTGTCCCAGGCACTGCACCACAGCAACTGTTGCCGCTTGCCTGTTGGTTGTTGGTTGTTGTCGTTGCCAACATTATGACAATCGATTTGCAATGGAAAGCCATTGCCTGAAGGCGCTCCATTTATAACAAGTGGCCACATTGACTGCCAGGCCAGCCTCTGCTCTGGCCATGGATAACTCTATACGCTCCAATCTTGAGTGTATTTCTTTTCAAATACCCTTATATGGTGGGCATATTAAATACGTAAGCAGAGTTGAACGAAGTCTGTAGGTATATCTGCTTAGTCTATAAAGAAATATAGATATTTGTGCTTGTTTATGTACTATTTAACTATCCATCTAGCGAGCTGTTTGTAGGAACTCAGCTATTCTTGAAGATATCATGCTGTAATTTTATAGAGTTGCTGTTTTTGTTTGTACTAAACTGCCTACTTATATAAAATTTCACTGTGTCTGTTTATTGTTCACTTTAACTATTCCCCTGTCAAGTGGTTCTATGTGAACTCGTTTGCTTTTGAAGTTATCTTGCTGAAAATTTTTTATGTAGTTGGCTTTGAGTTAGAGTTGGCTTATAAAATGTTGGGAAGCGTTTTGCTGAAGATTTTCTTCATATAAATTATACATACTTATTAGATAAATTTAGAAATTAATTGTGAGATAGATCTATATAGAGGAATACAGAAGCTTTATATATTAATATTTTTTTTTAATATATTTTTGCAACCTTTAAAAAGAATAATTCTTATATTGTTTTAGTTCTGCTTGGCTGCAGTTATATAAGGAAAAGATCTATATATCATAAATACAAATACTTTTCGTTGCATCAATCTTTTTTATAGCTCAATTTGATCAGCATGAAGGCATGTCCATCATCCATTATGTAAATAGATTGATAGATTGATCCAAGATATATAATAGATTAAATATATCTAATATATATAGAAAAATTTGAAATATGCCACAGACATATAGAAGATACAACTTTGTAGAATAGTTGGCTTAGTTGTTATATCTTCAGTATAGTGGATCGTATATATGTTTGATCATAGATATATAGATGTATGAATATATCTTATAGATGCTACATCTTATATATTTACATTATATATAGATAATAGATACTTTTAGCGGATATAACTTATATAAAATAATATTTATAGATGTTAGCTAAAAGATCTATATAGAATACTTGACTATTTGGTATCACATGTTGTCTAAGATCTTAGCTGTGGGTCGGCTAGAGTATTTGAACTCTGGCATAGGCTTATAGCCTTATAGCTAGCGTTGTCATTGTTGTTCCTATTGGTCTGGCTGTTGTTGCAGTTGTCGTCGTTTGCTGTTGTCGCTGTCAGCAGTTGTTGTTGTTGCTGCCTAGTCTGCTGCTGGTCGCTTGTTGCTGCCCCATGTTGCAGCTTTCAAAGTCAAGTTGTACCAATAATTCTGCATTTGACATTCAACTGCTTTTTTTTTGTTTTTGTGCCATTTTCGGCCAAAAACGGTTTCTTAAGCTATGCCCCCAACTGCCTCAAATATATATATATATATATATATCTATTTATATATATCGATGCATTGTCTTTTTGTTTAACTCAAAGCTAATTAAGCGGAAAATGTCAAAGGCAATTGCTTTATGGTTGGCTTTTACCAAATTTGGTTAGCTCATTAAAGTTTTTGGTGGGCAGCTTGACGTGGCTAACAGCACTTACCTTATTATCCTTGTTGTTGTTGTTGTTGTTGAGTTTTTGCTGATAGTATTCCTCGCGCGCATGCGTATTGAGACTGTCTATCAATGCGGAGGCATTCACATGCGCATCATAGACCATGGCATCGGTGTTGGCAGCAGAGGAGGAGGCTGCTGCCGCTGCTGCCGCTGCTGCTGCTGCTGCTGAGGAGGAGCTGGCTGCAGCTAGTGGTATATTAGCTTGTGGCGTGCGCGTGTATAGCTGCTCTATGGGCAAGGCAGGCGCAGGTGAATTGGCAGTTGTCAATGTGGCAGGATTGGTGGAGCCAGCTGGCGTTACCTTCTGCTGCTGCGGCTTGGTTGATAGCTTCTGATAGCTGCTGCTGCTGCCACTCAACTTCTGTTTGTTGTTGCCTGCATTAATCGGTGGCTTTGACTGGGCTGCTGCATTGGCAGCTGCTGCGCTAACGCTGCTGGGCCGCTGCTGCTGTGGGCCACGCTTCAATGCCGCCGTCACCTTGTGGCCGAAGGGTCGCTTGGTGGGTCTCAGCTTATGCTTGCCCATGGTGCTCAGAGTGCGTTGATTGCCAGCACTTGAGGTGGTGCTCGTGTTGGGCTCTGGGTCAGCTGCTGTGATGGCAGCGATGTTGTTATTCGAGCGTGCGGCAACAAATTGATCGTCCGGATCGGTGGCATCGGTTAAAGCGTCTCCACTCGTTGTCGACTGCTCCAGTTCCTCTTGCTGATCCAGCTGCTCTGTGGATTGTGTTTCCTCGGCGCTGTTTCCGAAAGTTGTTGCCGTCGTCTCACTCACATCTGTGGTCGTGGGCAGCTCCTTCATGAGCATTGTCTGCGCCGTGACCTCGGCCTGCAGCGCTGCCTGCTCATTCATGGTGTTCTGCAGCTCCAGCAACGTTGTCTCATCCAGCAGCAGTGTCGGATCCGTTTCGGCTTCAGTGTAGCCGGTGGTTGGCAATGTGCTGACCTCTGACTCCTCTGTAGACAGCTGCTGTGTGCTGCTGTTGCTGCTGTTGCTGCTGCTGCTGCTGCCACTGTTGCTTCTCGCCGAGGTTGCCTCCTGCTGTATCAGCTGCTGCTCCTCAATGTCCAATGTCTCCTTGAGCCTGGCCACACGCTCCACAATCCTGGCCAGCATATCCTTTTGCGGCTCTGGCAAATTCTTCGTATCCAACTCCAGCAGACGATCGTATTTCTTCATGTTACGCTTCACAGTTTCGATGTCGGCGCGTGTCTTCGATGCTGGCGGCGTTAGTGTCGGATAGCTGGGACTCTCCATAAAGTGGGTGCGCGCACGTCTATTGCTATAGCCCACCAGCTCGATAACACCTGGATACTCCGCTTGCGTAGCAGCGGGCAGAGCGCAAAGCGTTGCAAGCAGCGCCAAGGCGCAGCTCCAGGCTGCACTGAGCGCCATCTCTTTAAACAGAAGGGGGACGGTGGTGCAGTTCTTGCAGGTGGTTTAGCTGCTATTAACACTCACACACACACACTCACACTCACGCACTTGTGGGTGGGCTAAGTCCAGAAAAGTGGAACTCGCGTTTTGTCTTTTACTTTACTATTTGATATCCAGTTTTTATTTAGAATTTATTTTTATATAAATTACTTTTTTTTTTAATTTTTTATTTAACTTTTTCGTTTGTTCAACTCGTATTAGTGTCAACTAACTGTAACTGGCTGCACGGCACACGACTTTGAAGTAAATTCAAGTCCAAGCTGGTCAGGAGTCAGCTTTTCTATGAGCAGAAGCACTTGTCTCAATATATATACATACGTATATATATTTATATATATATATATATATATATATATATATCTATTTCTTTTTTTATTATTTATTAAACTTCTTCGTTTTTGCCTTCGCGCTCCGATCGCAGTTGCGTTGTCTTCTAACGTCTTGGTACAAATGTTTCTGGCCGCGTTGCGGCAGCGTCTTTTAAAAATTTTCAACCGGAAAACGCTGCCGCTGACGCAGCTGCTGCCAGCGTTGACGCCGACGTCGCGACGCGTCGCCACTGCTGTCTCACAGCAGACTTTTCTCCCAGCTTTTGCGAACCGGTTTGACTCGCTGTAGAAAGATACAAAAATCTAACAGTTGCAGTGCCTGCAAAAGTTCTACCCAAATAATGTTGAATTTTCAGCAGTTTTTTTTAGTTATTATTAAATTATTTATTTATTTTTTTATAAATATTTATTTTGGCACTAATTTTTAAGCCAAAATTCTTAGCTGAACTCAATTTATACAGCTCAGCTGTTAAGTTAACAGCCGCTGTTAGCTGCGCTGTTAAGCTTCAAACATGTTGCATTGTTGAAGTTGTTGAAACGTTGTTGAGTGCTATAATTTTCGGGGTCTCTTCGCTTTGACTAAATGTGCAATATGTTGAGTTCGTTTGACAGCTGATCAAGTTGTTGGCGATGGGTGAGAGAGGGCAGCTCCCGCTCTATAGGGGGGCTCGCTCCATTCAATTAGTCATTCCACGCACACACAGACACAATCGAGCTGCTGCTCGACTAGATTCTTTGCATTTTGGCCTGGTTCTTGGCTTTCGCTTCAATGTCAACGCCGCATCGTTTAGCCTGTCATCGATGTGCTCTATAAAATGATAGAAATGCTTACAGTTTTGTATGACGATCACGTAATACTCTTGCCTTGATTTGTTTATGTATGTTTACTGCTATAGATTTTACAAATTTTACTTCAGATTGAGAGCTTGGCGATGCTGATTGAATCGAGTCATTAGTTGCCATAGAAATATTTTATCAGAAAGCTGTTAGTGTGCTTCTAAGAACTACTTTTTGGTATAAAGTATTTTGATGTGTATAGAAATATGTAATGAAGCTCAAACTAAGAGCTGAACTTGCTTACATCTTTAGGAATATTTTAAGATTAAGAAAGGTTCTTCTCTTCTTCTTTCTTATATGGAACATTGATATTAAGCAGCAAAGAAATATTTTGAATAAAATATTGTTTGTAAAACTTAGCTTTGCTGAGTTTTCATAAGATATATGTTGCTTATAAGAAATCGTAGAAGTCTCTTCTTATCAACTATATAAAGTCTGCCAGTTCGATCCACTTTTATATCAGGCTCAACTCAATTGAAACTTCAAGTCAGATCTTTTTTGCCAAGCTACTTATATAACATAGACTAGATATATATAGTATATGTATAAATATATTCCTCAATTCCAACTCTCAAACTGCATAACAAACTGTATACACCCTGTGCTAAATCAACTCCCAACTGGTTAAACCTGACGCCTCGGAGACACCTTAGCCAGGCACTTGCTTGGGCTACCTGACTCGGTTTCAATTTAGCTTAAATGACAACATTTATAATACATATAATTTGTCGCGTGTGCTCTCACTCGAAGTTAATTGAAGTCCCCGCCCCCTACCCCATCGCTCCATCGCTATCTGTGCGCCTCTCAATTCTCACTTTGATCAAACATAACGCGGCCCTGCGATCGTACGTGTTGTGGCTGCTAATGATCTTCATAGATTTCCATTTCTAGCGGCCTTTCTCATAAATATACACATATACTCCATAGCTATCTATAGACTACATATAGCCGAGTGCTTGCCATTGAAAATTTCCAGCATGGGAACGCCATAAAACAATAACTAATGGCACCCAGGTCGTCGTCTGTTGTCTGCCTAGTGGTGGGCTCCCACTGGGTCCATGTCCAATAAAAGAAACCGAGCGTTAATTAAAAAAATGGCCATAGATCAATGCACCTGATAGATGAGCCAGCTGCTGCTCCGGCTGCTGTTGCCTGCGGCTTGCCTGCTGCAAAAGTTGGACATAATTTGCTAAGCCACAACGAGAGCCCAAAGTTGCGCGTCCCTAATTGTGCCACGCCCTGTTTGGCATGCGTTTGACATGTCCTTAGGCGGTTCATTAGCCAAATGGAAGACACGTTCTGATCGCATTGACACACATGCAAATCGTGGGTGCCATTTGCCGTTGTGAGTGGGTGCCGCTGTTGCTGCTGCTGCGTGGCTAACTGCAACTGTTGCTGTCGAAATTGTGAAGAAGAAAAAAACGAAAAATAGTTGCAACCGGGCAACTTTCTTCGGCTTATCTTTATGCATATGCAACGCAATGGCGGCGTCTGCATTCTTTTGTGGCAAGACGGCATAAAATATGCGAGCGACGCGACGCGGCGCGATCATCTGCCACAGCAACAACAGCAGCAGCAGCCGCAGCAACATTGGCAACTGCAACTCTTGAACTTTACCAGCAATGAAAAGCTTGGCTGTGGCCCTTTTAGCCAGCGACTGTTTAGCATTTGCAGCCACGAGCAACTTTTGCATAGCCATAGACTTGATGAAAAGAGAGAGAGCCAGAGAGTATGTGAGAGAGGGAGAAAGGCAGAGGGAGTGTAAGAGAGCGAACGAAAGAGATGCTGCACGATGTTGCCGCTGCTGCTGCTGCTGCTGCTGCAGCTCAAGTGCCAATGGCAATCTGCTTTTTATACCAAATACCCATTGAAAACGTTTGCTAAAAGGTATAATAAAGTTAAGCTTATAAATGGAATAGTCGAAAGTCGAATTTCCTGTCTAAAAGCTATATAATTGTTCTATATAACTTGTTTGTCTGTATAAATAGCTAGATCTGGCTGATTATAGCTATTAAATAAGGCTTTACCCATGTGCTATGCTTAGCCACTTAGTTTTTTATTATATTTTAACTTAAACACGATCGATAAATATCGATGTTAGTTTTCCTAACTTTAGGGGAGCTACTAACAGGTATGTTAACTCCTATATGCATATGTTAAGCAAATTTAAAGTTAATTTGTGTAGACATCATGTTTAGTTAATCATGTTTCCTCATACCGATAACTATCGATATATAGATTTTCTAATAATTATGAGTTTTATATATCAGAACTATCTTGCAGCTGATTTTTGAATTAATTATAATTCAAACATTAATTGATTGATCTTTAGTTACTTGCATTTGCTCTTTTCGATATTTATCGATTAGAGATTTTAGACTTTTTGAAGGTTAAGAGACCTGGAGTTGTAAATTTGCTCTTGTAGCAGCTCGTTAATGCTCAGTTAACAACAGTTCGATATGTTTTTACAGCTTTAAATATATCGATTTTTTTCTTTAAATTTCAAAGGGAGCTAGAATTAAATCGATCTTCAATTTAAGTGAGTTGAGTGCAGGGTAACTGCTGGCCGCACAGCCTCATTCTAGGGCACTCTTACTTGTTGCTATTGTGGTTCTTGTTGCTGTTGCCGTATGTTGTTGTTGCTGAGGCAACTGCTTTTTCTTGTGTTGCTGCTGCTGCTGCTGTTGTTGTTTATTTCCTTGCAGTTTGATCTTTTGGTCTTTGGCGGTAATTTTTGTTGCCGCAGCGGCGTCTGCGCCTTTTCCTTAGCAATTGTTGCTGCTGCAAACGCTCTATTGGCTTTCAGTTGCTGCTGCTGCTGCTGTTGCTGTTCTTTACTGTGCCTGCCTTTTGCATTGCAATTCTTATTTCTATTTTCGCTTTATCTACAAGTTTTGTCTTCATTTTTATTTTAATAGTGCAAATGATTCCGCTCCTTTGCAAATTGCTGCTGATTTTTTAGCTAGCGATAAAATGCACGACGGCAACATCTTTCTGTTGCTGCTGCCGCCAATGCCGCTGCTGCTGTTCGCATTGCGCCTTCTCTTTAACACATAATGATTTCAAATAGTTGCTACTTTGGTGCTGGGTGCGAAATTAATTTGAATTATTACTATTATTAGATGTTATTTGTGTAATGCGGCGTCCGATAGCGCTTGCCGGAGGTACAGTTAAGGCGCAGATGTTGCTGCCGTGCATTATGCAAGATTGCCAGACGTTATCCATAGCAAATGCGGCACAGTAAGAGCTGCAACAAATTTCAGTGATAAGCCAAGCAGACGGGCAAAACAGTTGGCGCTGCAACAGCAGCAGCAGCAGCAGCAACAGCAACAATTGCTGCTGCATAACTTGTGCCTGCTTCAATTACCAATTGTTGTTGCCGTTTAAATGATTGCATTGTTGGCCACATTTAAATTTATTAAAACTGCGCAGCTTCTAACGGGCAGCCACTTGGAATGTTGCTGCTGCTGCCGTTCATTGACCGTGCAACACTTGGCCTTGCGCCTACCTGCAACACACGCTGTTCGATTGTCGATTCTCAGCAATTGTTTTTTTTTTCTTCTTCTACATTCTGCATTTTGCATGCAATTTAATGTCATTTGTCATTTGCTTAATTGTGACCAAGTGCTTGTTGCATTTCCTGCAACAACTAAATGCCGTTTTGTAATTGTTGCAAGGCACGCAGCTGGCAGTGTTGTCGCTGTTGCTGCTGCTGCTGCAGCATCTGCTCTGCAGCTCGCTTCAGTTCTGCCGCTGGGCCATTTAGTTTCAATTAATCAAGTTGTCGCTGCACGCGTCTATTAGCTGTTTATGATGTCTGCCACACAGTACCCCCCTCAGGGGCCGCGAGTCCAGTTGCTCCACTCAT